GTCGCCGCGCCCCTCCAGCCACCGCTTGGACCCCATGTAGTTGTCGCCCATCCTGTGGGGCCCCTCCTCCCAGACGTCGCGGTCGACGAGGCGCAGCTGTCTGAGAAGGCGGACCAACTCGGTCCTCCCAGGGGCACCGCGTCGCCAGGCCGAGGCGCGCGCGTCGCGCGCCGCGCATGCGGCTGTCGAGGTCCTGCGCCAGGCCCGCGGCGACGTGCGCCGGCAAGCCCAGCGTGCGAAAGATGTAGGGCGCGCGCTTCTCTATCCACTCGGCCTCGCCCTCGTTGAAGTTGGGGCCAGCTGCGCGCGCGTCGGCCCAGGGCGCGCTTGCATCGCTTGTGCGCCCTGCCCTGCATGCGCTCTGCTTCTCTTCGCTCAGGGCCCAGCCTGAGCTGGGCCTCCGCCTCGGGCCCGCCGCCGTCTGAAGCGGGCCCTCCAACAAGCAGGCCCCTCCAACAGGCGGCCCGCAACCGTCTGAAGCAGTCCCTGCCGTCTGAAGCAGGCCCTGAAGTAGTCGCTCAGGCGCGTGAGCATTTTGCCCTTTCAGCTGGCCCTGGGGCCCTGGGTGGGCCGCGCTCGCGCCCGCGAGCCGAGGCCAAAGCTCGGCGGGCCCGCGCGCCCCCGATAAAAGGTCGGCCTCGTCGGGGCCAATCTGGCACGCCCAGACGAGCTCATCCTCGACGCCCTCGCACAGCCCCTTGCAGGCAGCCGCCGCGGCCTGCGGGCGTTCTGTCTGGGCGATCCGGGCCCGCGCCGCATCGCGGCCCCAGTGCTTCTCTAGCGCGGGCCCGGAGGGCCGCGACTTGGGGAACGCCATCGGCCCCTTGACCGTGAACGGCTGGCCCAGGTCGCCGTAGCAGGTGAAGCTGCGCTTGGCCGTCGCGCGGGGCCTGCGCGGGTTCGCGCGCCCCAGGGCCGCCATGTCCAGGCGACTGCAGGCCGCCTTTTCTGTCGAGCATCTCCGCGCTGACGATGAAACAATCCAAGTCTGACGGCCCCTTGGCAATGGAGTGCTGGCAGGCGCCCGCCCCCGCGTCGGCGACGCGGCCTCCGACCTTGCAGGGCCAGTTGCCCGCGCGCTGGTGGAACCTGTCGGGCTGGGCGCTCCGGACCCACGGTTTCCCAGTGCGTTTTGGGAGGGGCCCGACCTTTTGCAGCGCGGCCCTGCTGATCTCGCCGGCGTCGTCATTGTCGAAGTAGACCGGGCCGTGCAGGAATCATCCGCCAGGCACCACACCGTCGATGTGGGTCACCATCGCCCTGCCGTCGGAGATTTGGCAGCTGGGCTTGCTGCCGTGCTTGCTGGGGCCGCGCGCGCCGCGGGTCGTGCGCGCTGCGGCCCCCCGTGCCGCCGCTGACCGCGCGCTGTTGAGATGCCCCCGCAAAGCTCGCGCCTGGGGTCAGCACGGCGCCCTATCTGACTTGCCTGCGCCGCTGCTCCTGCCCCGCCGCGCGGTAGCCGTTGAGGTGGTGCTCCTGGAAGCAGATCGCTTCCCTAATGTGCACCTGAGCGACCGCGAACTGCTGGGGGCCCTGCTGATCGCCGAGAATGGTGGCGAAGGGGCCTCAGCCACTGCCGTTGACGCTCATCACCGTGAACGTCGGTTTGCCCCCCTCCCGCCCCCCCCCCCCCCCGTATCAAGCCCCGCAGAGCGTGGCCCTTGGGGGGGCCTCTGGGCACGCAGCTTGCGCTTGGCGGCCGCCTGGGATGCGGGGTCGGCGGCGCTGGCGCCACCGCCGTCGTCGTCCTCGCCGCCGCCGGCCTCGGCGACCTTCTCCATGTTGTCCAGGATGTTTGCGAGGTCCGCCTCCTCGAGCTCCTGCTCGTCGCCGCTGTCGCGTTCGGCTGCGCCTCCCGCTGATGCCACGCAGTGCGCCAGGCGCCGAAGCTCTGCAACCTGCCCATGCTATTGCCGGGCGAATCTTGGGTTGAGCATGCCCGAGGCCTGGTCGAGCGCCGCCGAGAAAGCAGCGGCACGTTCGCCTTCGCTGAGCATTGCTCCCGTGGCCCCTGGGGAGGCTGGGGCCCGAACGCCGCCCACCGCCCCCTCACGCGTGGGTCCTGCCCGTTCATTGAGCTGCTTGGCCAGGAGGTTATCGATGAGGGCTTGCAGCTCCTTCTCCGTGGTCTTGCCCTGCTCGCATTTGCCCTCCAGTTCGAGCTTGGCCTGCAGGTCCGAGATCTCCTGCGCGGCGGCCGAGATCTTCCTTTTCCAGCGCCTCCGTGGTGCTCTGCTGGTTATTCTGCTTACGTTCCAACTCGCTAAGCTGAGCTGACGTGGGCTTTCCCTCTGAGAGCTCATGATCCAACTGCTGTGCCTCCTGCCGTTTGGCCTCCAGGGTCTGCTTTGTTCCCTCCACTCTTTCGAGCTTTGTAGTTTCGCTCCGTAGCTTCCCCAGTCGCCGAAGTCGGCCGTCTTTTGGTGTTCGCTGCTGCCCTCCTGCTGCTGGAGCCGAGCCCGCTTCACCGCCAGAGCTTGGGGAGTGAGCACTTCCTTCCAACTTCTTGACCCTTCTGCACAGCTGGTTGAGCTTGTGTCGTTCCTTGGCGTCCAGGCGTGTCATGCCATTCCACCGCGAGCTTGCCCCTGATCCCTGCTCCCACCAGTCGAACCCGCAGATTCGACAGACGCGCCGAGAGTCCCAATTCCTTCTTGGCTCCTATGATGATGATGATGATGATGATGATGATGATGATGATGGTGATGATGATGATGATGCTGATGATGCTGATGATGGCGATGATGAGGAGCACGGGCAAAAGCAGTAGCAGGAGGAGGAGGAGGTTGAGGAGGAGGAGGAGGAGGGGGGTCACCGATGATGGGTTGGGATGCAGGGGAAGAGGGGGGATATCCTCCGCCCTCCGCTTGATGAGTACGTCCGTGAGCCTCACGAAGGTGTCGCGAATGGGATCGTTTTTCCCCCTGTGTGGTCGTGGCCATGTGGGCGTGGCGTGGCGTAGGTGCAGGGTGGACGTCGAGGTCATCGTCGTCGTGGTCGTCGTCGGCGTCTACCGTCGGCGTCGGCGTCTTCCGTCGGTGTCGGTGTCGTCGTTGGCGTCGGCGCCGTCGTCGTCGTCGTCGTCGTCCTCGTCCTCGTCCTCGTCCTCGTCCTCGTCCTCGTGATCGTGATCGTCTTCGTCGTCGTCGGCGTCGGCGTTGTCGTCGTCGTCGTGTCGTCGTCGTCGGCGGCGTTGTCGTGTCGTCGTCGGCGTCGTCGTCGTCGTCGTCGTCGTCGTCGTCCCCTCATTCCATCGGTGGGGGGGCCTTCAGAACCCTGGGACCCATCTCATCTGGGGGGGGCTGTGAACTCTCGATTCGGGATCATATGCGATCCTGGGTCGACGGATCACGGCCCCCCCCCTCAGGATGGGATGCTTCCACAGTCCCCCCAGAGATGGGATGCGTCCCAGGGTTCCATATCCCCACTTCCAGATAGGATTGTGGCGGGGACGACGACGACGACGACGACGACGAAGAAGATAAAGAGGACGACGACGACGACGACGACGCAGACGCCGACGCCTACGGAGGACGCCGACTCCGACGCCGACACTGACGACAACGACCACGACGCAGACGCCTAAGCCGACGCCAACGCCGGTGTCGACGCCGACACCGACCGACGACGATGACGACGATGACGGAAAACAGCGACGACGACGACGACGAACCACCCCGTATTTGTAGGGTGGAGGAGTACGGGCATTCTCCACCACGCCAGGCCCGCAGGGCCACCACCACGGGGGGGAGCGATCCCATTCGCGAGGCCTTCGCGAGGCTCACAGGCGTACTCATCCAGCGGGGGCGGAGGCTCGATCCCATATTCTTGGGGGGGGGTGCAACCCTGGATCATTCATACATGGTAGTGTGGGGTGAGGTGTGGGTCTAGGGGCGGTGGGAAGGCAGAGTAGTATGGTTTCTCATTGTTACCAAACCCCATCCTTTTTCTCCGCCCCTTGGAGGCCTCTTGGGGCCCTCTTGGGAGGCCTCTTGGAGGCCTCTTGGGGCGATTTGGTGGCCTGTAGGGCCGTCTTGGGGCCATCTCAGGCGTCTTGGGGCCATCTTGGGCGTCTTGGGCGATATTTGGGTTCTCTTGGACCGTTTTGGCCTGTTTTGGGGCCCTCTGTCTCTCCATGATGCGCTCCGTCCGGGGTCGTCCCGGGCCGGGGGGGGTCAAATCTCCGGTTTGGGGTCCTTTGGGGGAGGGGTTATGGGGGGGAAACTATCTCACACGCCTGGAGACCCACAAGGGGTCGGCGGATTCGATCATGCTCGTCGATGCTTTCGCGTTGCACGAAGCGATCGATTTGATGACGGCAGGTTCGGGCTCTCTCGGCGCGCCAAGTCGAATGGTTTTTGACGCAGGCGGTTCGATCGGTTGAGATTTAGGCAGCCTTGTGACGCTCGTGGCAAATCCCTGTCGTGCTCGCCGCCTCGAGGGTGTCGGCGTGTCTACGCCCGTGATGAGCTGCAAGTTCTGACCAGCATCCTTCTGTTCCGCCCCTTCGTTCGATGAGCTTGTTTTCCACCACCACGACCAGAAGTTGGGGGGGGGAAAGGAGATGGAGGAGGAGGAGGAGGAGGAGGAGGAGGAGGAGGAGGAGGAGGAGGAGGACTCCCCCCTCCAACTTCTAGTGGTGGTGGTGGAAAACGCGGCCATCGTTCGTTCCTCCCGCGCCTCCGCGCCTCAGCTCGCCTGGCAGGGCCGGTCCCGCCGTCTGCTCGGCCGACGTCGGCGCGCGCGTTTCTGGATCGGGTGCAGCCCGGGCACTCCGGGAGGGGGGCCCAGCGGGCGGCCAGGGCCCTGGGGCCCCCAGATCGGCCAGAGGCGCTGAGACCGGGTCTGCCGCAGCCGGCGTGCTTTTTCGGGTGGCCGCAGTCCTGACTCGTGGGGCGGGCGGGGGGGGGGGGGGGCGTCCCCGAGCACACGCCGCGGAACCAGGGCGCCGCGGAACCCAGTTCTGCCACCGCCCGACGGGAGCCCGCCCGGCGACCCAGGAGCGGATTGCCCGCTACAAGCAGTTCAAGGAGTTCCAGAAGCGCATCATGGTCTCCACGGACGGGGGGTCGCTGCTACAGTCGGACCGAGGTATAAGATCGAGTGCGGTTCGGGGAGGGTGCCCTTGTGTTCTTCGCGCTTGTTGGATGCTCCTGTGTATCCTGGGGAGGGTACCCTTGGGTGTTCTGTTTGTTTTGGCCGACGGAGGGTCTCATGTTCTTGAGGGGTGTTCTTCTGTCCTAGGTCCGACTGTACTCCGTCCAAGGTTGATAGGCTTCCTCCCCTGACGGGCCGTTTTCGGGTTGCGAGAGGGCGTCGCGGCCGTCACTGTTGCGGGCCCAGGTCCGTCGGTTTCGGTCCTGCGCCGTTTTCGTGAAAGGAAGGTTTACGAAAGGGAGGTTCGTCCACTGCCGACAAACGGCATACGCATCAACTTTCGGAGCTCTTCGTGGATTCCTCGGATCGGCGCTGGGCCCCCTTGGCGGCGCCTCCGGCGCTGCCTCTAGCGCTCTCCGCGCGCCGGGGAGGGAGGCTCAGCACCGCTCCAAGAATTCCGCGCGGAGCTCCGAAAGGTTCTGGTTATGCTGCTTTTTCTTCGAACGTAGCATCCGCATCTATGTGCCTCATCTGTGTGCTGATCGGGGGCCCCTAAACGGGGTGGTGACCACACCGTGTGGTGAGTCGGTGGGGATTCGGGGTCACCGCACGGTTTTGGGACTCGGGTCGTTCTCCGAGGATGTCTCGGGCGACAGGGGCCTCCAGGGTCCCAAAACCGTGCGGTGAGGTCTTTGGGGATTCCGAGGTCAACGCACGGTGTGTCACCGCACCGTTTCGTGACTCCAAAGCTGAACCCATTATCACTCCCTGGTGAGCGGTTTCTGAAGACGTCCGTCTGTTATGTACGTTCAATGCGTTTCCCAACTCTGGTCTGCCGGTGGGGACCTCGGCCTTTGACCGACTCGGCGGGAGCGTATTCCTCGTCCGCCTCCTCCTATTTCCTCCCAGTCCTCACGCCTCCTCCCTCCCTCCTCATCCGCCTCTCACTCCCTCCTCCTATCTTCCTCCCGCGTTCTTCTCCTACCTTCATCTCTTCCTATCTTCCTCCCACGTCCTTCCTCCCGTGTCTTCCCAGTCCTCCTATCTTCCTCCCAGTCCCTCCTCATCCGCCCCTCCCTCCCTCCCTCTGGATCCTCCTCTCTGTCTGCTCTCCAGCCTTCCTCTCCCTGCCAGGCGCCGATGGCCAGGTCCGTCCGCGTCCTTGGTTGGTGTTCGGATTGAGATTGAGTCGGGCCTGTCCATCTACAGGAGGAATATTCAAAAATTGTAAGTTGTCAGTGTTCAGCACGTAGTTGTTAGCCGATGTCTCGGGGGTGGGCCGTCTTGAAGGTCGCAGCGTCTCGCTCCCGCGGCCTTGATTGCTCACGCGGAAACGCGGGGCCCATGAGGCACCGCGTGGCCGACTGGTTTGCAGCGGGTTTCTTCTCCTATCTCAGCCGTTGCCTTGCGGCGTCAGCGTACCCTGAGTGCCTGCCATACTCGTGCCTGTGGACGTACCTCTCGGTGAGCAGCCGCCCCGCCTGTTTGGGGGCGCCAGGACCGGGACCGCCGGCTTGGGCTAACCTGCTGACTCGCCCGGCTGTGGAAGCTCGGGACCGACGGTGGCGGCCGCGTAGTATCTTGGGCCGCTCGCAGCTGCCGGGGATGAATCCAGTTGATGATCTGCTCCAGGTGAGTGTGACGCCAAGTCCGAGCCTCCACTTCTTGGTCCTGGACTGCTCTCGTGATGACTGTCAGGCGGACGGGCTCTCTCAGGCACATCGTTTGAGGCACGAACCCGTGGTGGCGGAGCTGGTCACGATGTGGGGACCGGCGCCGCTGGCTGCGGACGACCTCCTCGCCCAGCAGCTTGAGACAGCAGGTCCCTACACGGTGCACGAGGTCACCCTGGCTCTCAGCCCGCGAGCGGGCGACTGGAATGAGGAGATCCGCAGCACCACGAAGCTCTACCTCGGCGAGGGCGTGAGCTACGACCTTGCGGTCGTGAGCAGCGGCATGGGGCTCGAGCTGTCCACGAAAGAGGCGCAGTTGGTTGAGTACTGGTACAACATAAACTTATCCTTCTTGCGGCCGCTGGCAAGGACAAAGGAAAGGGCCTTACGGCCTCTTCTCAGCACGCGGTGTTCGACGTGGCGGCCATTTCTCTGGGCATGACGAAGGACCCGGGGGCTGCGACGATCTGCCCAGACCTCATCGCCCCCACGGCAGAGAAGTTCGACCGCGTCGCGGCCATCCTCCTGCTAGTTGGCAAGGCGCGTGAGGAGTGCTCGGAGCTTGCGCGGCAGGATCCCAAGGGGAACACAGACAAGGAGCAGGGGTGATGTTGTCCTCTCCAGGGCTGGACGCGCCTCCCATCCAGCCTTGGTTTCAGCATGTGCTTCGAGGAGGGCCTGTCGAGATGGCGTCTTCCGGCAGCCTGCTACCAGCCATCCTTTTTGGGCGGAGGAGCGTCAGCGCAACTTGTTTCTTCTCCCCCCAAGCAGTTGGGACCAGAGACCAGGGTGGAGCTGCAGCGCAGTGTTGCAGGTCTACGCGTCGTCGACTCCTTCGCACCAACCACGTTGACGTGATGTGTGACGAGATCGTTGGCACGTTCAATTACATGCATATTGGCTCCTGCTGCCCGAGGACGTCCCGTGGACCTACTGCCAGCCAACAGGCGAGTCTCAACCTGATTCGGCGTTCGGTATGTGCCATGCGGCTTCCTTCTGGTGACATGAGCGGCCCAGAAACCCTTCGAGCGCTTTGGGCGAAGAGTGCTTACGGCGAAGGCGCCGTGATCGCTCCCCTCAGCAAGGACACCGTCCACTTGGTGGACCTGCCGGCTGCTGGATCTAGTTTGCTTTGCGATCGTTGGAGTATCTTGCAGGCGACCGAGGCAAAGGTATTACTGAGTGTTTAATTCAATTGCGCTTGGAAGAGTACACGGGCAAGGAGAAGGCTCTTCTGCACGTGCCTGCACGGCCCTGCTTGGGCCCCGCCTTCAGGAGGTCGCCATCGTTGGGCGCGGAGTTGTTGCGCCTCATGATGGACTGCGATCTGATTGAGTGGAGACTGTCTGGAGACGCGTGGGCTTTTCTTTGTATATAAGAAGTCAGGGAAGTACCAGCTGATCGCGGACGGCCGATTACCTTCGTGTCATTTTCCCTGGCGTCTGGAGCTGCCTTTTCGGCTATCGAAATAGATGGCACCTCTCCCATCCAGGCCGGCTCGGTCGATATCGTCAATGCGTTCTACAGAATGCAGTTACCCGAACCGCGCAGGGATATATTTTGTCTTCCTCGGGTCTTAGCCGATCTGGTTGGCGTCGCGTCGGTCCATGGTCGGGCCATTCGGCGCGGGCGTTTCATTTTTCCCGCGCTGACAGTGATTCCCACGGGATGGAAACTGTCTTTGTGGGCCTTCCAGCAAGTACTCCAGCATCGGGTCCGATCAGTGCGATGGGGTGGCCGAAGACAACGCGGTGATTGACCATGCTCCTTCCCCTGGCCTCTCCCCCTTTGCTCGCGCGGGGTCTGTCGACAATTTCTTTGCCTTCGCTAGGGGTCGAGAGGCGGTCAGATCGGTGGCCCGCGGTGTCGAGCGAGAGCTTCATCGCGTTGATCCCCCGGTTCATCCTGTCGGAGCCGGGGCAGGGGTTGCCGCTTTGGGGTGGTCTTTTTCGGAGGTGAACGCAACGGTGGGGGTGGGCCCTCGGGTGGCCTGGCGGATTCGTTTGGCCATCCAACAGATTCTGCAGGAGAGGTTCGTGAGTGGGGGGGCTCTCGCTGTCATCATGTCACACAACACTACTCGCGCCCTCTTGTGACGTGAGTTGTTGTGCGTGTTCTCCGCCTGCTGTTCTTTTGCAGCTGACGGCGGCCCCCATCGCCGACGTCTGTGGGCTGTTGTTCGCCGAGAGCTTCGCCGGGCGTCTTCGCTGATCTCCTGAGCGCCGCGGGGCCTAGGCGCGGTCTGGGCAGAGGATGTCTCGGCGGTGGATGCGTCGTCTTGGGGCGGGCGCATCGTGAAACGGATGCCCCCGCTCGGCTTGGTGAAACAGATGGGCCAGTACAATGAGAGGTGGAGGTTTTCCCGCCAAGACGCATTAGGCTATCGTCCTCGGGATCATGCGCTAGGTCTGGCTACTCATGGAGGCTTTCCTGCTGATGGTGTTGCTCCTGAGGTCCCTGCAGATCCCCCGCGGCATCCTGGCTCCATTCTGCCCCCCAGCGTCGGCTCCGACGCGCGGGACGGGATTTGGAACCGGGTCCTCGCCAAGAGATGGGCCCGATCGGAGGCCCAGGTGGTCCTCGAGGGCCGCGTCGTGATCCTGGTCCGCCCCCACGAGACGTGCCCCCAGGCAGATTTCGGGGGGCGCCGCCTCTTCCTGGGTGGCGCGGTGGCTAGCGTCCCGACCATCTCTAAGGGTCGATCGCCTTCGAAGCCGATGCGGATATGCAAACATATCGCCAGCCTAAACATGACCTTCCTCGTGCCATCCCGCTGGCGTTGGTTTCCTTCAGAGCAATCCCGCGGACCGCGGCTCAAGGCGGAGGGCCGGTGATTGGGCCGAGGCGCCCACTCGGCAGCGAGAGCCCGACGGGCCTGATCCGCCGCTTCCGGCGCCGCGGCTCGCCCCCTGGGGCGACGACAGCCGCGACCAGCGAGACCGACGAGCCCGCGCTTTTGCTGCCCGGCTTGGCCGCGCCTTCGGCGCTGAGGTCGGCCCCGCCCTGGGCCACTGCGCCCCGGCTGGCGCCGCCGGCGAGGCCTCGGACAGCGCGCGGGAGGCAGCTCGCGGGGGGACGCGCTGCCCCGGCCCGCGGGGTCGAGCCCGATCTCCGAAACGCGAGGGCGACGCGCCGCCGAAGGGATCGCGATCAAGGCATTCTCGTCGACGAGAACAGCACATTCCAGCTCGCGGGGCCCGCGATCCAGCGACGGCAGAGGGCGCCGCGCCTGCGCCTTGCACCGTCGCGCGCGCTGAGGCGTCGGATCGCCGTCCGCTCGATGCGCAGGGCCTGCAGCCTGGTCCAAGGTCGAAGGAGGTCCACCTGGTCGACCAGTCCCTCGTTGGGCCCGCGAGCTCCGCGGGCTTGCTCCTGTTGACCGCGCGGACTCACCGCCGGCGCGGCCTGCCAGCCAAGGCGCAAGTGCTGCCTCGGGCCTGGCTCACGCCGGTGGGGTTCTTGGAGGCTGCCCCCCTCCGCTCCCGGCGGCCCCTGCCCTGGCTGCTTGCGGCGCTGACGGCGGGGGGGCGGGGCGACCTGGCACGGCGGCGCGCCGCTGGCGCGGCCCATCAGGATCTCGCGTTTTTCTTGCGCCCTTCGGAGACCCTCCGCCTGCGGGTGAGGGGCGAGGGGCCGCGCCCTGTCAGGGGCCAGAGGGTAGGGGCGATGCGGCCCCCCCGTGCCGCTTGCCGCGGGGGGCGCCTTGCCGCCGAGGACGAGCGAGTCGGCCAAGCTGCTCAGCTACGACCACCTGGAGCCCCGGCGGGCCGAGAGCCCGCTGGCGCTGCCCCGAGTCGGCCGAGACGTTGCGCCGCCGCTGCTCGACCCGAGGTTCGCGATCTGGGCCGCCCAGCTCTCCCGGGTTGTGGTCGATGTGGGCTTGGTGCCCAGGCCACTCCAAGCGCGCCTGCGGCGGCGCGGGATGGCCTGCCGCGGGTTGGCCGCGCGGGGCCGCCCCTCGGCGGAGATCGTGAAGCACGGTTTCGGGCCGGACGACAGCAGCGCGCGCCGCTACCAGAGCAAGCTCGCGCAACCCTGCTGCAGCTGGCCTCGGCCGACGCGCGGCAGCAGGCTTCGCCGTGGCCGTTGGCGTCGGCTCGAGGATCTCGAGGGGGCCGCGCGGTCTGCGCGGGTGACTGGGATTCAGATTGCGCTCGAGATCTTTTCAGGCCCAGGTCGTTTAGCAAGCACTTGGTGGCGCTGTGCAGCTTTTCGGCATATCATGATAGTCGAGATTGATGTCAGGCATGGGCCACGCGTCGATCTTCTGAATGAGAGACTCGTTCGGACAATTCGAGGGCGGGTGCGAGGTGGCCTCGTATTCTTCGTCTTGATCGCCCCTCCTTGCTCTTCATTATCTGCCTTGAGTTTTCTGTTCCCTCCTGTCCTTTCGTTCGCCTTCCGTTTCGGCCTTCCCCCCCTGCCCGCTTCTGATCAACGGACAGTCAACTCAGCCAGTCGTTTGTGCAAAGTCGCTGCCAGCCTTTTAGACCTTTGCCATCAGCTATGCGCCCCCTGTGTAGTGGAGAATCCGCATTCGTGCTTTTTGTGGAACGCTCGTGCCTTCGACCTCCTTTCTCGGTCGGCTGGCATCCAGTGTTGCGTCGCAGACATCTGCGCCGGGGGAGCTCCCTGGCGCAAGCGCACATGCTCCATGTGCGCGCATATCGCTTGCCAGTCGCTTTCGAAGAAATGTTCTGGCCGCGGCGCCTGTTCTTTCTCGCGCAAAAGACACGTAGAAATTCTAGACGCTTCGCGTAGCCCCACCAGCCCATTCAGAAACGATGCCCAGGCAAGAGGCAGTTGGACACTGCAGCGACGAGCAAGGAATGTACTAATCTTTTAGCGGGTACGGCGGTGCCAGTCAGGGCTTCGGTGTTGCTGGTGCGGTCGCACCCGCCACACGTGGATACTCCCCACCTGTGAAACCAGTTTCATCCGTAAACGCTCCCATGTCGTCGTAAAAAAAGGCCGCGAAAGGCTCGAGCCCCCCCGTGTGAACAGGCCTCACACACCTCCCCCTTTCCCTCCCGCGCATCTCGTGCAGTCCAGTCACCCGCCATGGACCCCCCAGCCTGCTGAGAGGCTGACCCTGACGCTCCGAGTGCGCCGCCGCGCGGCGCGGCGCTGCTGGTGGAAGACCCTGAATGACGACATGGCGACGATGCAGCAGCTTAGTACGACCTAGCGAGAACGCGAAGCTCGTAGGCTGGAACCTCTATTCATTGATCAGTCCCTCTGGCAGGACCGACTCTATCAGCCATGAGTTTCGCAACCAATACGGTATCTTACGCCCTGGCACACAGATTGGGCCCGCCAGCTCCGCGAGGACCTCCTCAATGCCCTTGCAGCCCCCATCAGCGACGACCTCTGTGGCCTCTGGGACATCGACGACGACATTCGGAAGTTTTTTTCAGGGACCCCGAGATCCAGGAGGCATTCCAGCAGATCGATTTCAGCTACTCGACATATTGCACAGCCATTACATTACCGCGAAGAATCCAGATACCACGTTTGGATACACTGGGACGGGGGTCGGCCCCCACATGTTATTTCCGCCTGTGGATGCTCCATTGCGATATGTAAGCGACATTTTTCTCCCAAGCACGTAGTCAAAATTGCCTCCCCGCCATCTGACTTACAGGGCCGTGCAGGCGCCACTGATATTGTACGAGGACATTTACGAGTCAGGCTGATCGTGGGTTACCTATTTCCAGTCCCACATAGCTCAAACGCAAAGATCAAGATCACGGAACGGACATGCATACGAATTTGGCAATGGACTACAACAGAGATTACTTCTACTCCGACACGCATGACGCCCCTCTTTTTCAGCGACCTCAACCAAGGCATGGGACGTCGTCATCGGGCCATATGTATGGGCGACAGCACCGAGTCACAGCAGCCCGCCCCAGAGACTACCGTAGGCACACCCATTCACGAAAGACTCATCATCAATCAGCTCTGCGCGTATAACACATACTGGATTACTGGGCAGATTTTTGTTCGGCAATGGCGGTGCTCGCAGCAGAATTGATTATTGCATCGGCCCGATTGATGCGTTTCTTATTATTACGAAGCTCAAAATATGCTGGCGCTTTTATCAACGCCTGCGTGTCCTTCCTCGCATGCTCGATTACATCCCAATGCTTATTCATGTCAAATTTATTGCCCAACGTCATCTTCTATCGACTATGCATTACGATGGGACTGGGCCCCGCTGGCAGCAGGATTACAGACGGGGTACCGACGCGCTGAATTTCTACGTGACCTACATCAGCAGCTCATTCAACATGCACATACTCTCCGAGTTTCCCAGCATGACCAGCTTTCCGACCGACATGCAGCACGCGTTGCATACCTGGTCCAGCAAGCAGCGATTCTACATTATTTTCGCCATGGAGGACATCCAGCTTGGTTCAAATATGATCAGCGTATATGACAGCAACTCCTCCGAGAACGTGCACAGCTGCGTGACAAAGGCACGGCGGTCGATGACATCTAACTCAAGCTCATTCCTCGCCGATTCCGCGAACATGCCCAATGGAAACGGGCATGGTGGCATCTTCTTCTCGACTAACAAATCACCGAAGCTTACCGCCACCGCGACCTCTCACGAGTCGCCGAGTTCAGCAGACTTCGTGCAGGCACTAAAGCAGTCCCCAAGAAACGTAATTACATGCGAAGTGGGAGGTCGAGTTTGCAAAGAGACCGAAGAGTACCTCGAGAAATGCCAGTCAGAGGACCCTCAGCCCGAACCACTTATCGACGTAGAGACCCTCCAGACCGAAGTCGCCTTCCTGAGCGCCGACAAGACCCATGACCCGAACACCGCCAAGCTGATCCTTGGCGCCAAGGACTGGCAGGACCGAGGCTTCCTGCTCGCTGGCCCTTGCCCAGAAGGGAACGCGAAGCACCACCTGGACCCAGCCCCAGCGGACTGGCTGGAGGAGGAGATATCGATATGGCTAGACTACTTCCGACGAATGACAGGATGCTACGATTAGTATCTGGCGGCATAATCCCTGCAGCGAGGCCCGCAGTAGCTCCCGAGACGGACCTCGCACATCAGACAGGTGACCTCCCATCAGATAATGCTGATTCTGAGGTGCAGACCCACGATCTAGCCGCAGATGAGGAGGCTGCCGAATTTTTATTTTCATGATGTGCCCCGAGAGGTCCCTCCCAAGGCTCCCATCGTCCAGAGCCGTAGCTAGACTCCTATTTACTCTCCCCTTCTTTCTTGTTATCCTTGAGGAGTGGGAGATGAGGAGCATTTCCCTCCCCCATTCTCGTCACCCGCCATAGCAGGATGTTGTTTGTCTGTAAGACCTCAGCTTTGGATCAGTGCGAGGCCTCACTTCAGAACCGCCCTCAGGGTCTTCCAACGCACAGCGCATGCCAGCCCGCATCGAGCGAGCTGCACCGTTGTAGCGACAGGCCATGCTAATCAGCAGGCAAGAGGCAGTTGGACACTGCAGCGACGAGCAAGGAATGCACTAATCTTTTAGCGGGTACGGCGGTACCAGTCAGGGCTTCGGTGTTGCTGGTGCGGTCGCACCCGCCACACGTGGATGCTCCCCACCTGTGAAACCAGTATCATCCGCAACCGCCCCCATGTCGTCGTAAAAAAAATGCCTCGATCAGGGAAGTGGGCAGCCCAGTGGAGGCCGGCTGGAGCGTCTTAGGGGCCTCTTGGCGGTCCCGGGCGCCTCTTAGAGCGTCTTGGGTGCTTTGGAGAGCTTCTTGGGGCCTCTTGGGGGTCTCTTGGGAGCCTCTTGGAGGCCTCTGGGGCGCTTGTTGGGGCCTCCTGGGGCCTCTTTGGCGCCTCGTGGGGCCCTCTTGAAGCGCTCTTGGGAGCCTTCAGAGCGCTCTTGGAGCCCTCTTGGGCCATCTTGGAGTCATCTTGAAGCCTCGGATGGCCATCGGAAGCGAAAAGGCGAGAAAGCCCGAACTGCTGATTTTCCGAAGGTTTTGGAAGGATGTTGGCCTCTTCGGGGCCTCCTGGGGGAGCTCTTTGGCCACTTGGAGCCGTCCTGAAGCGGTCTTGGGGCCTCTTGGAGCATCGTGGGAGCCATCTTGAGGCATCTTGGGATATCTTGAGCCATCTTGGAGTCATCTTGGGCTCTCCCAGGCGCTCTTGGAGTCATCTGAAGCAGTGCCCCCCCCCCAGGAGGCCCAAATGTGGCCAAAACCTTAGTAAAATCAATGATTTGGGCATTCTCGCCGAGGCCTCTTGGAGCGTCTTGGGTGCCTCTGGGGGGTCTCTTGGGGCCTCGTGGGGGTCTCTTGGGAGCCTCTTGGGGGCATCCTGGGGGCCTCTTGGGAGCTTCTTGGGGCCACATGGGGCCATCTTGGGGCCATCTCGGGGCCTCTTGGGGCATCCTGGGGGCCTCTTGCGGCCATCGTGGAGGAAATCGATGAAAGAAGAGGGGAGCTCTAATTAGCGCTGCCCCCTCAGAAGGCCAAAATGGGGCCAAAACCATAGTAAAATCAATGATTTTGGCTTCCTCGCCGAGGCCGTTTTGGACGCTCTGACCGCTCCCCGCCCCTCCTGTCCAGGTCAGTGGGGAGGGGGTAGGGGGAGGGGTAAACCCCTCCCCGAAGGGGAAGAGGGAGGGGTGGAAGAGGAAACGCCCTAAACCACCGACGCCCAGAGGGCTGGTGGGATTTGGGGCCTGGAGGGGCTTCTCTGCGCCCCCTCTGGCCTCGATAAACAGGGAGCTCACACTGTCACCGTTCAGTACGTAGTTGTTGACCGATGTCTCGGGGGTGGGCCGTCTGGAAGGTCGCAGCGTCTCTCGCTCCCGCGGCCTTGATTGTTCAAGCGCCCTCCCTAGTGTTCCCACCCCGCGGATCTGCACAGAGGTCTCGGGAGATGTCGAGTCGCCGAGCTTGAGGATCTTTAAGCGCAGTCTCTGGCATGTTTCTCGTAGCCCGGCTGCCGGGCGAACTGTCGCTGGAAGGGCGTCTCTGCGCTCCCTCTGGTCACGAGAAACAGGGGGCCCACCAAAAGAATGATATGGGGACTATTTTTAGTATTGTTTCACAACTTCCCCGTATTTCCTTTTTTTAATGCTTCATCGAAAACCGGCTTATAGAAGGACGGGCCCGACATAAGATTGAGAGCTTGCAGCGGCCATGGAAGCGCAGCTGGCAGGAGTATTTTCGAGCCCCGAGTCATCAGGGGTAACTCGGGTCAGGGGTAACTCGGGTGCGTTTTTCGGGAATCCGAACCCGGGTTGCCCTAAGCCCGAGTTGCCCGGACAGTTCGGGCGCCCAGAGCCCCGAGTCATCAGGGGTTACTCGGGTCAGGGGTAACTCGGGTTCGTATTGTTCGGGAGGTCCGAACCCGAGTTACCCCGGGCCCGAATTACTCCGGATATTTCGGGCGCCCAAGTACTCTGAGTTTGGAGGGAGCTAGGTCGTGTTGGGCCGTCCGTCCGAAGATTCGATGATCCAATCTGCGTGGTGGACACCCTGAGTTTATTCGTCGGCTGCCGCTAAGCAAGAGACCAAGCCCTGGCCAAAGAGACTTCCGTGATTTTCAAGGCAGTGTGGCCTTCTTGCGATGGGTTTCTTGTGGTCTGGCGCTCATTGTGCGTCTTGCCCTTCCCGCCTCCGCGGCTGTCCCCCCCTCCTCCCGCGTCTCCCTCCCAGTGCGCAGTTCGCGCCCCCGCTTCACGGCTGCCGCTCCGACCGCGGTGCGATCGACCCCGCCGCCGCAGGTCCCGGAGTGTCTGCCACCTCTGCCTGCCACGGTTCGCCCAGGCCCCACGGTGACTCTTTGGAAGGAATGTTGTGTCCAGGGTCTGCTCAAGCTGCTGCAGCCCAAACTGCTACTTCATTCGGCCAGGATTGGCGCCGGGCGCCGTTCCCCGCGGTCGCGGGGGAAAAATACTGCAGCAGTGTTTTGGGGGGTCGATGGCATGGAATGGAAGGTTGGCCCAGAAATGCGACTGGCCTCCAGTCGGACTGCGAGCGAGCTGTCGACGAGCAACGGGCTGCTCGCACTCCAGCGCGCACCTCCCGTGGCCTCTCTCTTCGGCGTGTCGTCGGGCCGCCACGGCTGGTGGCGTCGGGGCGCGCGGGCGGAGGCTCGCCCGCGCCACGCCCGAGCAGCAACGCGACCACGTCGTGGCCCAGGCCCAGCAGCAGGGCGACGAGACGGGCATGGGGCCGAGTGTTCCAGTCCAGGCCTCCCAGATGGGGTCCGAGTAGATAGGCTCGGAGGATCCCGCCGCAACGCCGATGCATCGCCGATGCTGCTCGATGTGGGCCCCGATGTTCTTCACGGCGATGCAGTGCAATCTTCCGTCCTCATCTACGGGGACCCCATATGGGAGGCCCCTATCCAGGAAGGCAGGGGCAGAGGCTGCGACCTGGCTCCGGAAGGGAGGCCACCAGGAACCCCACGGGGACCCCACGTACCTGCCGGACGCCCGTGGGCTGCCTCTGGCGCGACAGCCGTCTTTAGGGCCTCTTGGGCCGTCTTGGCACCTCTTGGGCCGCCGTCTTGGGGCCGTGTTGGGCCGTTTGGGGGCCCTCTTCTCTTGAGGGCTTCCTGGGCCGTCTTGGGGGCGATCGTCGGGGTCTCCAGGGCCTTCTGGGAGCGTCGGGAAGTCGCAAAGGCGAGAAGGCCCAAAACCTTCAAACACCCAAGGAAACACACACTGACTCTGGCCTCTTGGGGCCCTGACTCTTGGGATGCTACTTGGTGGCCTCTGTGGGCGTCTTGGAGGCCTCTCGGGACGTCCGGGGGCCATCTTGAGCGTCGGGGCCCTCGCGGACCGTCTGGGGCGCCCGTTGGGGCCCTCCTGGCCCGTGCTGGGGCCCGGGGGGGGGGCCCAGAGAAGTCTCGCAGCACGCCGCGAAGAGCCCCCGGGGGGGGGCACGCGGGAAGCCCCCGGGAGACTTTGGCAAGTTCGGGGCCTAAGAGGCCCCGCGCGGGTCCTCTTGGGAGCAGGGGCCGAGGCTTTGAGGATTCGGCAAAGGCTCTGAGGATGCGCCTGCTCCGTGCGCACCCGCGCGGGGCAACGGCGCGTGACACTGCACGGGGCAACGCCTTGGACAGCCAAGCGACCACGGGCGTGATCACCACGGGATGTCCCAGGGAAGATCCCGCGGGACAACCCGCGGAACAACCACGGGGGCACCAAGGGGCAACCCGGCGCACACCACCGCGAGATGGACGTCGTAGAGTCGATTCCTCCGTCTTGGTCTTAGCTGCCGCAGGCGCATCATCGTCCTGGCGCAGCTTCGTCTCTCCTGTAAGTTACGCAGGACACGATCCGAGACCGGAGCCGATTTCCTAGTTGTGGTCGCTACGTTTTCTCGGCCCCTCCGCTTGAACGCGGCGGACACGTTCCACCGCCGCTGACACAAAGTCCCCCCGTAACCTTTTCAAGTTATCTCAATATTGCTGGACTCTCTTGATGTCCTGCCTGGGGCCTTCATGGATCCTCTGAGGCCTCCACATGACATCTTGGGGAATCTGAGGGCCATTTTGGGGTGATGGGCCAGCCTTGGGGTGAGGGCGCGATCATCGGATTCGTCAATGCTGCGTTGCACCCGTACGGTTAAGTCGGGCGTGTCACTCTACATGAGAAGTATTCTAAAATAATAACACAATGGTGTGGGTACGATGTTGGATTATTTTTCACTATTTCTGAATGTTTCTGACTATTCTTATTTGTTCGCCCAGAATCTGCCTGTAGGAGGACATGCTCGACCTAACCGTACGGTCATTCCTGCAAACTTGCAGGCAGGCGGGCAAGAGTGCAAACATGCCTTCTGCCGTGCCCCAGCGTGCCGTGCCCGAGGCACAGTGGAGGATCGTTTTGTGAAATCTCTCTTTGCCTCGAGGACTTGTTTGGGCGTGGTATTGACATCGAGAGGCGCTTCTTCTTATTACTGAATCTTGTTCTCCATCTGCGGTGTGACATGCACTTCGCTGGCTACGCAGTCGTATGCTCATTGTTCGCCTATTTGCGGTGTCGCATGCTTCGCGAAAGCGCACATCCTAATGGCGGTGGGGCTGTGACCCAGGACGTGCCAACTCCCATGTCGGCGGATTATCAAGCTATGGTCTCAGTGTCCATACCAGTCCAGCATTGTCCTACGCATCTCCTCTAGGTGGCTTCGTCTCATTCGTTTTTCTTCCTATTCCAGCAGTGTCAGTCTGCCATCGTTTGCATGGTCAAAAACGTTCAAGCATCTTGAACCCCGATCACCGTTTTTTCGCTGGTGCGAATGTTGGGTTCTCCAGGCTCGCCCATAGCTCTTCCCTGGGAGCACCGAGCGCACGGCTTGCAGAACCGCCGTTGCCCTCGGGGCGTTTTTTTGTTCTTGTGGTCAGCAGAACTTTTTTGGACCGAGCGCCCCACTTGTTGACCCGTTTCGGTCGTTTCTCCTCCCGATGGCGAGACATTCTCGATGTTGATTCTTCGCCGCTTTGACACTCCCGGGGGGCCCTCTCCACCACGGCTGGGCTCGCTCTGGAATCCTGGCCAGAACGCGTTCCGATGGAGATCCGGAGAGTTGCGGTATCGATTCCCCAATTTCGGACAACATTTTGGGAAGTTCGTTGCTTTGATTCTGAACCCTTCCAATCCCGACGCGTTTGCCAGGCTGGTGCCAGGCCGATCTTCTCGGTACTTCTGTTTACCACCGCCTTTTCTGTGCCACCCTCGATATATCTGAACATGGTGTGATCCGTGACAGTAAGGTTCGCGCAGAAAGAAAGCCATGATTTCTTAACTACTGCTGCCTTCACCCAGGGTGAACATCGTTATCAACTACGACATGCCCGATGACAGCGATAGTTATTTGCACCGAGTTGGCCGTGCCGGCCGCTTCGGAACGAAGGCGTGGCCTCTTTTGCCTCTTGGCGCTGGTGTTTTTTTCCTGTCGCGCTCCTCTCCCTCCCTCTACTCCTTATTCTTCTCCTGCTCCATGCCCTCTTAATCCTGCTGCCGATTGTTGATCATATGTTTGCGGCCCCTCGTTTTCCCGCCTTTCCCTCTTCGCGCCCAGCCTCTCACTACTCTCATCTCTATCCCTCCCGTGTGCTATTGTTTCCTGGGTTTCCTAGGCTCTCGCTGTCTCTCTATCTCTCTCTCTCTCTCTCTTTCTCTCTGTCTCTCTTTCTATTTACGTTATCGGTGTTTCTTGTTTTCTCTCTCTCTCTCTCACTTCCCCACTGCTTATGTCCCTCTCTGTATATACACGGTGCACACACACTTTGTCTCTCTCTAGTTCTCTCTCTCTCTCTCTCTTTCTCTTTCTTGCTCCCGTCTTCTATGTCTCCTCCCTTTTCCTGACCATCCTGTGGTGTCCGCTCTTCATCTTGAAGAGACAGCGCCCCGCGATCTTCGCTCCTTCCTCCCGCCTCCCTCCTCCCTCCTCCTCTCATCCCTGCATCTGCCCTCCGCATGTCGCACCCCTCACGCACTTCGTGACCCCATACGCAGCTACACCGAGGGCCCCGGAGGCCATGCTCGCATGCGGCCGCCCCACCCATTTCGGCACACCCCTCGTGCGTCTCGTGCCTCCATAGGGAGCTCCACCGAAGGCCCCAGGGGCCATGTTCGCATGCGGCCGCCCCACCCACTTCGGCACGCCCCTCACGCGGTTCGTGGCCCCACGGGGAGCTCCACTGTCGGGCCCCAGTGGTCATGTTCGCATGCGGCCGCCCCGCCCACTTCGGCACGCCCCTCGCACGTTCCGCGGCCCCACGGGGGAGCTCCCTCGAAGGCCCCAGTGGCCATGTTCGCATGCGGCCGCCCCACCCACCTCGGCACACCGCTCATGTGTGTCGTGGCCCCATCGGGCGTTCCACCGCAGGCGATACTCACACCGACGGTATTCGAAACTGCATATGATTGGGTCCTTCGTGAGGATATTTGTTTTATAGTCTCTTGCTCGCTCTCACTCTCACTCTCTCTCTCTCTCTTTGTTTCTCTTTCGTTCTCTCGTTTGTGTACCTCTATATATACATATATATATATATATATATATATATGTCTATGTTTGTATGCGTATCTGCATGCATGCATGCATGCATGTATGTGTGCAGGCATGACTGCATGCATGCATGCACGCATGTACGCACGTACGCACGTACATACGTACGCACGCACGCACGTACGTATGCATGACTGCATGCATGTATGTATGTGTGTACGTATTTATGCCTGCATGTATGTATGTAGGGATGTATGCATGTATGTATGTGTGCACGTATGTATGTGCGTGGGTGTGTGTGTGTACTTGTGTATGTGTGCATGATGTGCGTACGTGCGTACGTGCGTATGTGTGTATATATGTATGTATGTATGTGTGTATGTATGTGTGTATGTATGTATGTATGTACGTACGCACGTGCGCACGTATGCACACATGTATATACGTATGTATGTATGCATGCATGCATTAATGTGTGTATGCATGTATGTATGTATGCATGTCGGCATGTATGTATGAATGACTGGATGTATGCATGCATGCATGCATATGAGTCGCTCTGCCTGTCTGTTTGTCTGTTTGCCCGTCGGTCGGTCTGTCTGTCTGTCCGTCGGTCGGTCTGTCTGTCTCTCTTTCTGCCTGTCTCTCCCTCTCTGCCTGTGTGACTACCTGGCTGGCTCGCTGGCTGGCTGGCTGGCTGGCTAGCTGTATGTATGCATGCACGCATGCATGCATGTAAACGTGTATGTGTGCATGCATGTGTGTATGTACGTATGTATGTATTTATGTGTGTACGTATGTATATGTATGTATGCATGTCTGCATTAATGTATGTATGTACGTATGTAAACGCGTATGTTCGAATGTATATATATATATATATATGTATGTGTACTTGTATGTGTATGCTTATATATATATATATACATATATATACATGTGTGTATACCTGTACGTGTAAATGCATGTGTATGTGCAGACGTATATGCACATGTATAGTTATGTGTCTATGTATGCGTGTATGTATAGGCCTATGTATATGTAACTGTATACGCATCTGTATATACCTTTTATATGTATGTATGCATGTATGCATGTATGCATGCATGTATGCATGTATGTGTATGTAGGTACTACTGTATATGTACATATATACACATACACAGGTTCGCCCTTTCCCCGACTTGCCCTCTGTTCAACCCTCATGCTCCTGTGAATGCCTTCTGCTGGCCACTGCCACCAGGTTCACTCGTCGCGGTCGTCGTCGCCCTTCACTCCTGCTGTTCCTCTTTCTTCTAGAGTTCCTTACGCCAATTTCGGACAGTCTTCGGACCGCCCGAGGGGCCTCCATTCTTCCAGCCCGCCCTGTTGGATTGCCTGGTGCCCCAATGGGTTTGTCTTTGGACCTCAAAGTGTAATTTCTGTGCCTTGCTGCTCTATTGGAGTGGGAAGGGGAGCATGACGGCGACGCCAGCGCAAACGATGACGAGGCGTAGGACGAGGGCGGCGGGGCAGGGTTTGGCGATCACCTTCAGCAGCTCGGACGAGGACCGTCTCTGGGCGCCCGGCCGCTGCGCCGGCCGCAAGCTTTAGCCCGTGGGAGGGGCGAGCGGAGAGGGGGAACGAGGGAGAGGAGGAGAAGACGGGAAGGAGGAGTGCCAGAGAAGTCGGAGGCCCTCAAACTGTGTGGTGACCACACCGCGTGGTGAGCCAGTGCGGATTCGGGATCACCGCGCGGCTTTAGGACTCGGGTCATTCTCGGGGCGTCTCGCGCGACTGGGGCCTCCAGGGTTCCAAAACTGAGCGGCGACGGACCGCGGTGAGGTCCAGGTCCTTCGGGATTCCCAGGTCACTGCACGGTCTGTCACCACGCTGTTCTTTTCTGGGACCCCCATTTGGCCACCCATCACCCAAGATGCAGTTATCGAAGTGTTCTTTGGTTCAGCCCGCGTGAGACATTCTCGAATGACAGTGAAGTCCGACTCGCCGAAAACTTCCTCACAAAGTCTTGCAGCGCGTTTCGCGCAAAGCAACGTTTGAACTCTAGGCACCGAGATGCCCTCACCTGAGGTGATCTGATCTGTGCCGCCTTAGGACCTCCTCCAGACGGAGTTCCAATATTCGATCCTCGGATTGTTCGCCCCTTTGCGCTCGACTTCCTCGGGACGCTCGGCTCAGAGGTGACGATCGAGAGATGAACTGGCCCGCTTCGCCTGAGGCGTTCATCATTTCGGCATCAGGGATGCCGCGTGAAAGGTAGTCCAACCCGTTTCGCCAAGCATATCTTCGCACGTTTAGGGGTCAGATGCTGCTCACGGTGTAGTCCGGCCACCCTGGCTCCAACGCCGGCGTGTGCGTGTGCGTGGCTCGCTGGACTCGGGCTGTCCTTTCCATTCCCCTTCGTCCCCTCCGCCACCCACGCATCCCGCCCACCCTTCCTCCCCGACTCGCTACCCTCGCTCCTCTCATATCTCTCCCATCCTGCCTTCTCTCTTCTTTCCTGTCCTACCTCCCTTCCAACCTCCTCCATTCTTCCACTCAGCAGCATGTGCGCACATGTGAGGTCATACCTTCGAATTGTTTCCGAACGTCGCAGCCGACTGTGCATCGGACTGTGCGACGTGTGCGCGAGTCTGCGGCCACGTTCCGGAGGCTCCTGCCGACTTCCATGGCTACTTGCGACCGACTGCGTGATGCGTGTGCGTCGTGTGCGGGCCCTCCTCCAACCACGGAGCGAAGCTCGCACGAGCGAGATGAGCACCTGACGAGCTGAGTCCGCCGTTCGATGTCGGTTCAAGCCGCTGCGAGCGCGTGGCCCTTCGCGTGCGGAGGCGCCCCTCGTCGAGCGCCGCGCGAACCCAGGACTGCACTCTCACCCCCTGTGCGCTGGCCGCCGTGTCTCGAGGCCTCCCGCTCTGCCGAGGAGCCCACGGTGCAACGAAGAAGCGCACCTGTGTCTCAAGCGGGTTACGACGGGCATTGCAGCATGTGCCACCGCAAAAGCTGTTCCCAGATATAGGTGTTCGGAGGTTGATAGACCTCCTACCCTGACACGTCGATAAAGGAATTGGCCGTTTTCGGTTCGCGAGAGGGCGTCGCGGCCGTCATTTTTGCGGGTCCAGGTCCGTCGGTTTCGGTCTCAGGCCGTTTTCACTGAGGGGATTTTATTGAAGGGAGGTTTGCCCACTGCCGAGGTATTCTGAGAACTAGAAGGCGCGAACATCGACCTGCACACTCTGCGGACTTTGCCCGGGAGCTCGTGCGAAGGACCACGTTCAAGCAGCGTGAGCGCCAACGGTCCTGCCACTCTGGATGGGTGCACTCGGCACAACTCAGACGACGACCTTCTCGGATGCGCACCACGTGAGACACGCACGAAAAAAAACATTCAGCGAAGGAATAGGTACCCACACCTCTACCCCTCGCCCGTTTTCCTCTTCTTGGGCCTCCTTGGAGGCCCTCATTGCCACCGCTGGATTCTCCTCGAAATCCTGGTCAGAACGCAAGCTCGGAGAGCTCTGGTGGGTAGCGGTATCGGTATCATTTTATCTCCTCAAACATGCGGTTGCACTTGACTTTGCCGTGCGATGTCCCACCCACACGAGTGCAGACGAGCGCACTTTGGGACTGTGCCATGCGTGCTCGTCGTTTCGGATCTCGTGCCCGATGTGCCGCGCAACGCTCCCGAGTACATCGACGTGCAGCAGGGTATGCGCCACGTGCACATGCCGCTCTACTTTGCCATTGTGCTCATTCGGGTCACGGACCCCGTTTCTGGACAGGAGTTGGCACTGTCACGCCAAGCGTGCGCAAACAGTGGATGCTCTCGCTCCGTCCGTTTGGGTATCATGTGCTCAACGCGCTTCCTGGACTCCCCAGCCCTGTGCGACGTGTGCTGGGCAGCATCATGGAACCCTGTGCATCATCTTCAACGCGAAGCCCGCGCGACATGCCAGGACCTACCCGCAGTGTTGCAAGCAGCGCTTCGCTGAACAGTCTCCGGCCGTGCTGGCGAACTTGGTGCAGGGCGAAATCGCCTCGTATTTGAAGTCTTCTTTGCCGCCCGCCCAGTCGGGGACGGGCGGAGAATCAGCTTTGCAGTGGATTTTGCACTAGGCTCCCACGCACCACGCCAAAGTATTCGTCCCCGGAGCATTGCCGCTCTGCCGCGCGTACGGGCAGCTGACCTCCCTGCGCACCTGCTTGAGACGCACCGCGACGTGCTGCACCATGCGCGCGACGCGCTGGAGTCCTACCGGCGCTTGACACTGCGTCGCTCTTGCGCACTACGGCCAGCGCAGATGGCTCCTCGAATTTGCGAGCACGTGTGGTGGCGTTCAAAGACGACTTAATTGACGATCACTTTGCCACGGCACCTGGCGCAGTCTGCGCCTGGCCAGATTGGGGAAATCAAAAGATACCGATACCGTAACTCCCTGGACCTCTCCTGGGGTGCGTTCTGACCGGAATTTCGAGGCGAATCCAGCAGTGGCGACGACGGCCTCCCAGGAGGCCCACAAAGGGAAAAACGAGGGAAGGGTAGAGGTGTGGGTACCAAGTCCTCCTCTGAAAGACTGCCGATGCAATCCCCAGACGGTGCATGTGTTAGTTCCAACGCATAACGAGTGCTCCGATTGGCTTCAGTGGCCCAGCGACTAGCGCGCGCGACGACGACGCCTGGGACGCGCAGCATGACAACGCTTCCAGCGTCGACCAGCAACCTTAAGTCGGGCCTGTCCCCCTACAGGTGGAGTATTCAAAAATAGTAGAAAATAGTCAGGGGACTGTGTTTGATGACTTTTCGACTCGTTTGGCGCATTGCCTGTAGTGGGACACGCCCGACCTAACAGCAACCTGATTTGGAACTGATCTTCTGCGTCGAGGACCAGGCGAGGGCAGCGGAGCCCAACGTCGAAGTTCTGCCCCAGGGGGGACAACGGCTTTTCGGGCTTCGCCACACCCGACGTCGTTCGGTGCTGGCAGGACAGAGTGCAGCGCTGAGCGTCGGATGTCTGCGCCAATCTCGCGGCGCACTTCGTCGCCGCGCCAGAACTCTGGGAGCGCCCCAGAATGCGCGCCTCCTTGTCCAGCCCCGCCCCCGCCGCGCCCCCGCCGATCGTTCCCCCCTGGCGCGCTCCTCTCAGACTCTGCGCGCCTCGCCCCGAGCCGCGTCGCCCCCCCCCCCCCGTGCCTTCGCTCGCGGCCCCGCCCCAGCAGACGATCCAAGCGACGCGACGCTTGCGTCCCGGGGTCCTGGATTGGATGCCCTTCCCAGGAGCCCACGGCGGCAGCCTGCGACTGGGCGGCCACCTGCGCTGGGGCAGCCGCCTGCGACGGAGCGGCCGGCCGCTATAGCCACCTGCGCCGGGGCGGCAGCCTGCGACGGAGCGACCGCCTGAGCTGGGGCGGCCGCCAGCGACGAGGCGGCCTTCTGCTCCGCGCCGACCATTGGCATGGTCAGCCCGAATCTACGCGCCCCCCCGCGGAAGGCCCGCCCCCGACCAGCGACTGCGTCCAAGACCCGCGCTCGTCCGAGTGCCTCAGCGAACCTCCGAGTCGCGCGGCACCCCTGGCGGCGCTCGCCCGACGGCCTGCTCTTGCAGCACCCCGCGTGTGGGCTGGGCGCACACTATGAGCCCCCCCCACTCAGAGGCGACGATAGGGGCGAATAGCTAGCCCAGGGAAGAGCAATACATGTATCCAGTGGCGCCGATGATATATGTCTTCGACCAGGCTCCCGGGTGAATGCGTGTAATGCCCACCCCTGGGCTATTCGCCCTTATCGTCGCCGCCGACCCACTTTCAGCCCCCCCCGTGAAAAAATCAGCCGGACGGCGGTGGCCGCCTGCCGCCTGGCACTTTCGGGGCGCGCTGGCGACGGCGAGGGCGCCCCTTCCAGGATCCAGGCGAGTGCGTGCAAGCACTGCTTGTCCGCGCTGCGGGCACTCGCAGGCGCTGCCGACGATTCGCCGCCCTGGCCGCTGCGAGTGCCGGCGCCGCTGTGAGCGCCATGGGGGGGTGGTGGAGAGGCGCGGGCCCCCGTGAACTCGTGGGCCTCCCTTGCGTTGTGATGCTCCAACCTACTTTAGCATCAGGTCGGAGGGTACGCTCCTCCTCCTCCTCCTCCTCCTCCTCCTCCTCCTCCTCCTCCTCCTCCTCCTCCCTCCTGCTCCTCCTCCTCCTCCTCCTCCTCCTCCTCCTGCTCCTCCTCCTCCTCCTCCTCCTCAAACCTCCCTTGCGTTATGAATGTCGGGCGCCCGAAACAGTACCGAAACTCGAAACGTTTCCACTTGTCAGGCCCTGGGGGGCACTCGCCCGACACTGTTGGCGACACGCTTTTGACACTTTTCTGGGTGCTCGAAATGATGTCTGGGATGCGGTCCTTCACCAGGATGGGAACGACATCACCCTTGCGCTGAAGGCAGGGTCGTCGGCCTCGCCAAAGTGTGCGCGGCGTGGAAAGCGGCGCTCCCGAGCTCGTGGGCAGGGCGCCGCGCACTTCCGCGGCAGCTCCGGAGTCCCCCGTGTCCCGCTAGGGAGCTGCTGTGGCTT